GCTCCGTACCCGTGTCCCGCGTGTCTCCGCAGAGCCGGCCAAGGGATGTCGAGCTGGCTCCGCTCCGAAGGCCACCTGGACGCGGGGCCCATCTACGTGCGCGAGAACGGGCGGCTGCACGTGGTGAGCCCGGCTGCTGGCGGCGCCCCCGCGGCCAGGCCCTTCAGGCTCTTCCCCAGGGGCTTCTCCGTGGAGCTCTGCATGAACGGGGAGGACGACGGCGCCAGAAGCCCGCGGACCGACCACTTCATCTTCACCTACACCAAGGAGGGCAACCTCCGTTATTCCGCCAAGTCGCTCTTCAGCCTCGTGCTGGGTTATATTTCTGACAACGTGGATCGCGTCGACTCGCTCATCGGCTTCCCGGAGCAGATTGCGGAGAAGCTCTTCTCCGCCGCGGAAGCGCGGCAGAAGTTCACGGAACCGGTCGCGGGGCTGAGGGCGCTGCAGAAGTTCACGGAAGCGTATGGAAACCTGGTGCTGTGCTCGCTGTGCCTGCGGAACAGGTGAGCGCGCCCAGGGGTGAGCGCCAGCACCTGCTTTGTGCAAGCGTGTTTAAGGTCTCCCTGACATTATTTTCTCCCCAAAATAATTTTAATCGTGCGAGGTATGACGCTGCCTGATTTTAATCGAGTGACCCGAGCCTTGATTCATTCTTCTTGCCTCATGGGATGTTTTTGTAATTGCTGTTTACAAGCATTTCAGTGTTCTTAGCTGACCATGCAGATACAATGCACCTTGACAAGCTGTTTACTCTGACTGTCCCATTCCATTTTGGGATGTTCAGCAGAAGATACAGGCTTGTTATGGGCTTTAGAGAGGGATATGTTTCAGTTTATTTTGGTATCTCTCCCCCTATTTAACACTCTTTAATGGCTTGTTCTAATTAGAATCCAGCATAATTCTTCTGTTTTATTCTTGTCTGTGTTTTCTCAGTACAGTAGAGACTTGCCAAACTTAAAACTGGGTACGTTTTAAGGCTTTGGTCCTATTCAAGTCTTTTCCAGTAATATAACCAGTCTGTCTTCCATCTGTACACTTTGAAAAAGGGATGGTTTATCCAGCTTAAAATCGAAGTACAGACATAGTCATCTGAATTGCCAAGGGTGTTTTGAGCAGAGTAGAAATGTTTGATCAGAGGTCAGTTATCCTTTGCTTTATCCTTTAACCTACTTTTTTTTTTTAATCTTTAGTACAAGTGTTTTTTATGGTCTGGATTCTGCAATGAAGTTACCTCTGGCATCTTGTGCTATTACAGGAAGCTGCATTAAGTATCAAATCTTTGAAACCCAGAAAAAGAGATAGTTAGGCTTTTTTTTTGATGATGATGATGATGAACCTTAATCCCCAAACAGCCCACTCTTCACACACCTTCTGCGTTAGTGTTATCCATCAGGAATTGTCATCTTGCACTCCAGTTGTACGTAAGGCCCCTTCCACATAACTGAGCTGCATAAAAAAGGGATGTGCTGTTCTTGCAGTAGGAGGATAATGGGCTGTTCTTGCAGTAGGAGGATATTCAAGTCCCCCTCACTTGCATGGGCAGAGAGGAGCTTCCTTGCGGACACAAGTCTGTGGGCATCTCATTTCAGCAGTGAAGCTGTTAGGTGTCCTCAGGGATTGTGTTGCCAGGGTGACCATAATAGGTAAATAAGGAGAGCTCAGCGAGTTTGTGATTTTAAGTGTTTTATATGTAGGTATAAAAAGTAAACTTTATCCTTTAGCAAGCAATGCTGCTACATTTAGGGTAGATTGTAACACTGGATTAAGATAATCCTGTTTATGCATTGAGATGCCAAGCAGGAGCAATTTGGGAAGTTGATGTGAAATAAACTGGAATATATATCCTGCTTTATTTTGAAATAAATGGTGTTTGCCAGTTGATATCTAATTTCCAGTGCAGTAGTTTGAGTCAGAGCAGAACCATGATGTTGGTTCAGGTAGAAGGCTGGGAATTCAGATGGTGTGCAGACTGCAGCACAGAAGGGCAGCTGGCTGGCTAATTTCTGGCAGTTTCCACAGAGGTATTGATGTGAAATGACTCCGTTACGCTAGTGACAACTAGATCCTCATCTAGGACTCTTCTTACATATCTAAACATGAATGGCTTTTTGCATTTCACAGATACCTGCTCATCTCTGAGAAGCTAGAAGAAATTAAGTCTTTCCGGGAGCTGACTTGTTTGGATCTTTCCTGTTGTAAACTTGGAGATGAGCATGAACTGCTAGAACATCTCACTAAAGAAGCTCTGTCTAGGTACAGATTTCCTGACATATAATCAAGCGTGATATTTTCTTCGCCCATCACTGAGCAATTCAAAGAATCAGGCTACAACTGTAAAGGAAACTTTTACAGGCAACAATGTACAAGTTTGAAGGTTTAGATTCTTTCATAAAATCTGTTCTTGAGATAAAGAAAGTGCAGAATTTATTCTACAACATCCAAATCTCAAAAGGTCCTACAACTATGCAAGTACAGAAATGCAAATCTACTGTCTTCTGCTTTCATATCAACTTTTTATAATTTCCATTGTCCATTCTAAATGCATCTTAGGAGTTTAACAGCTCTAGACTTTTATTTCCTATTTTTTAGGCAGTTCTTTATGTGCCAAATGATTGCTGCAAGCACCAGGTTAAATATTTTCTTAATTAACATTCAGAGAATAATCATGTAATTTTTACACACTAAAGACTGACAGGTAGAAAATTGCAGGAATCAATAGGCAGGATAATTGCTTGATAATTAGCAGATATTAAGTTAGCATTAAGACTGCTGTGTTATGAATCAACATTGTCTTGAAGTGCTCTGAAAAAAATATTTTTTTTCCTGAGATTTGTTCATATGTCATAATAGCTCAGTCTCCTTCAATATCATTACCATAACTCTTACAAATATATCCTCTCCGATTGTCAACTTTTTTTTCTTTTCATTTTGACTTAAATTTGGCAGCCCTGAGTTAGTAACTTTAATTTATAAACAACATTTGTGCTTTAGGATTGTTTTGTCTGCCTTTGTTGAGTAAAGGGAGGTAAAGGGAATAGAAAAATCCTTGCTAGCCCTACAAACCCAGATTTCTTGTTTTGTATTTTTTAGTAATACTAACAAAAGAGTAGGCTTGAGGTTGGCACAGGAAGAGCCCATACTTTCTACATAGAGTTCTAAGACACTTTGCAAAACCATCTAAAAATGTGTCTGTTAACTGTGGATTTGCATTTCTCTCTTCTCAGTGTAAAAAGGCTTCTCTTGAAAGACAACTCTTTATCGGATGCAGGACTTCGCAGAATGACAGCGCCCGTACGAGTACTGAAAAAGGGACTTGAGAATCTTTTGATACTAGATTTATCTTGTAAGTGGGTCACTGTTTAATATTAGAAGCTGTCTCTATCCTTTCAAATGAAGAACTTCTCCTTAATATTGAAGGAATGCAATCAATTTAGTGATTCCCATGAGGCAAGTACCCAACCCCAGGACCCAGCCTTCTAGAAGGCATAGGTTGTTTCTATAGTACCAGTCACTTGCCACTGAAATCTTTTACCAGTGAAGCAGCAGAAACAGGGCAGGCTGCTAACTGGCATAAATAAAATGCTTAAAAAAATGACCTGTGCAATCCAAAACAGAGGTGAAATTAGCCATTTCTGTTTCAATTAAGTAACTGAACTCTGATTTTTTTTTTTTTTTTTTTACATCTGCCTGTTTTAAGATGGAATTATATTTTATGGTAGTTCAGTATTTTGTTTGACTATAAAGACACACAAACTTTAATACAGTTGCTACTGTATCTGCCTGGAAAGCAACAGGATTTATTTGGGTGTGGGGGCAGAAATAACATATGTAACTAGCGACTGTACCATGATACCAACACGAAGTCTTCCCAGGTAAAGTTATTTAAGTAACCCTTGTTAGGTGCCTGTATTTGCAACCTGCAACATCGTGTAAGTAGTTATTTCTAGAGTGCTCTTGGACGATCTGCTTGGGGGTCTGTTTACATATTGGTCAAAACATTAATAAAAGCCATGCTACAAAACTGACTTATCCTGCAGTTCATTCTGGAACCTTTGCCACAGTATTCACTATTAGCATTTCTGCAATTTAACAAACTCCCCCTACTACTTGTTCAATAATTTTGAACAGCTTAAAGTTGTTATAAATCTCGTATCGTTTTCAATAGAGGGGAAAAAAGGACCTGCTTTCACAACATGAAGCATATTACAAAGTGGTCCCAAAATGCCTTGTTTAAATATTAGCTTTGGGAAGAAATACTTTCTTGGCATTGTGACCATCTTTCTGCACATTTGCAACTTATCTAACTTGACTTGACTTTACAGGTAACCCTAATATCACAGATGTGGGAATTGGCTACCTCCTTTCTTTCAAGAAGTTGAATTGTTTGGATATTTCAGGAGCAGGTCTCAAGGTAAAGCAGAGATTCTCTCCAAGCTTCCTGGACAAGCATAACCAAATGACCCTCCCCACTTACTGCTTTGTCTTTTTGCTAGGATGTTAATGCAGTCATTAAGCGGCTCCAGATGCACATAGGCCTTGTTCACTCAAAAGTGCCTCTCAAAGAATTTGATCACAGCAGCTGCAGAACAGAAGGGTGGGCAGAGCAGGTATGTGGCTTTTAGATCTGCTTTACTCTCTAGAAATCATTCTTGTGTGGTATGAAATCCCTGAACAGTAAAGAATGAGTTGTTTCCAATGGTATTTCTTTAAGCTTTTTAGAAGAAGCATTTTTAATTCTGTCAAATTTCGTTTCAGACTGTTTTGCAGTGGGAGCAGGCAATTATGGAGGCCATGAAGCCACAAGAACAGCTGAGATCCAGAACAGCAGCTCTGCACTTCTGTATGTACTGCATAGAGAGCTTATTTTCTACAGGGAATCTCTTCATGTATCTTCTGTCAGTGCAAACAGCATCTCAGATGTGTAACTTCAGCCATCTGTGGAGCTGTATCACAATGTTTGATTTTTTCTGTTTGTTAGATAGGTAAATAGATTTTTGACAGCATGACAATAACATAATTTAAACCTTTTTTTTCCTCTCCTTAAAATTCTAAGTACGAAATAGAAATATTCTTTTCCCTATTTATATTTCAACAAAGTAGTCTCAATTCATGCTGCCATGGTCAAAGCAATTTGCAACATGAACATCCATTTTTCAGGACTCTTTTTGTCCAAATCTAAACATACTTTTCTTTTTTTTTTTTTTTTCTTTCCTACAGATGGCAAGACACACAGAATAGAGGACGTAGTCAAATGTAAGTTGGTGGAGACAGAAACAAAAGCTTCTGGACACTTGCAGTTTTATAAGAAAGAAAACCAAAATTGCCCTTTACCTCTGAAAAGGGAGGTTGCAGACAGCCATGAATTAAAGAACAATAAAAAAAGAGCTTTGGCTGAACAAGAGAGAGAAAGGACTTCCAAACAGAAGCATCTGTGCCTCACTGTGGAGGACTGGGATTTGTTGAATACCTACTGACTCAGAAAGAAGCGGGTCTTTGTTTGTTTTCTTGCTGATGACAGAATTTAGCCATATAGAGAGGGAGTAACAAAGGGGACCAGGATTGTTAAATCTGGCTGCTGTGATTTACTGGCAAGTTGCTTCTACCTGGGGAGGGGAGGCTAAAGTCAAAGAGAAGGATAATTAAACTACTGTATATTTTGAATACATAATTTTTAAAATAAAGTTTTTGTTGTCATCCTTAAGTAATTCTTCTGGTACAGAGGTTCAGAGTTTACTAAGGATTTCCTCCACTAGTGCTTATTTAAAGGATATCTTCCTTTTACACAGTTGTTTGTCATAGCAGCAGGAAAAGCAGCACCTCCTGGGAATTCACAAGGATGCCACACCAAGGAACTTCAATTCAAAAGCACATGAAGATAGGAGAAAAAACTCTGTTTCTTTATTGCTGAAATTTCCTCAAAAGGACTACCCACAAACCAGGCATGCTGACTTTCCAGCCCTGCATTTCTATCCAGAAACTCAGGTGATTTAAAAGACATAGAACTGCTGGAGAAAGTCCAGCATAGGGCTGTGAAGATGAGGGAACTGGAGCATCTCTCAAGAGGAAAGGCTGAGAGCTGGACCTGCAGAAGAGAAGACTGAGAGGGGATCAGATCTGTGTATACAAATACCTTAAGGGAAGGTGTCAAGATGATGGCGACAGACTATTTTCAGTGAAACCTCTTCTGGGGGCAGGGAGAGGAGAGAATGACTTCATGCTGCCTCTGAATCTGCCCTTCTTGAACTCATCCTTCAAAAAGGGGCAATTCTTCCTCATCCACTGCCACAGAACATACTTTGGGGTAACAGGAGAGACACAGTGATTATAATAGCAGGCTTTATTTACCAATTCCAGATCAGCTTTGTTAAAGTGTTAAGTGACTGGGATATTCTAGTAAAAAAACATGCATCCCTTGCATGTGATTGAGACTAAAGGGTTGAAAATGAGGAATGTTACAAAACTCAACCTCTCTTCTGAGCTCGAGCACTAAGCACACTGCAATACTACTTAACACATACAGAAAAAGACACCCATCTTAGCTAGGTATAGAAGAGAACACTTTAAAGGTTCCTGTCATACTGATCTATTATGCATAATTTTGCCATCTCATGAAATAAAGTATCAGTCAGAAAACAGTAAAGCTATTTTTAAAAGAGCGTTCAGAGCTACAGCTGGATCCCAGTTACAAATTAGAACAAACATTCACAGTTCAAATAAGTCACAGTGACATGACAAGTTTCAGATCACAGGACAGAGTGGAAATGAGTGAACTGGTTTTTATGTTTAAAGATACATGACCTGATTCAGTGGTAGGAAGAATATTGCCTGAAATTTATTTTGGACCTAGGAATGTTAAGTGCACTCACAGTAAATCTGTTTTTCAGACATGAGATTTTTAGATACATGAGTTTTTTGAAGGAACAGAGAAAGACCACATCTTTCTTAAATTTCAATGGCATGTCCGTATCTTAATCCTGCAGACTGCTTTGAAGGTTTGCCTGTCTGATCCTGCTCTGCTTGCACAGGAATGAAACCAGCAATGGATGGATCCAGCCATGCCCCACGGCTGCCCCTGCACCAGATATGGTTCTCTGCTCACTGCTCTGCTCCTGCTCATTGCTCTGAGACCATCACTGCCTTTTTTTCCCCCTCCTCCTTTCTTTCTCACTCTAAACTTAGGGCAAGAAAGCTCATGTCTCAGTTTGATCTGATTTACTGTTCAGGCTATACCTCAGCCCACCCTGGCAGTCCCTTCATCTAACTCTTTAAAGGCACCAGCATTTCAATACAGAAGCACCTCAGCCCAGGTGCTTTATGGCCAGACCTGGTTACAAGCTGCTGCCAGCACAGAGACCCATAACTAGCAAATGTATTGAATTTGTGCTGCCTATATTAAAATTAGAACAGACTCACCTTCACATGACCTGTGAGGGTGTCCAGAACGCACGTGCAGGGCTGCCAAGCACATACTGAAAGCACAGCACTGCGGCCCCTTTCAGCGCTGCTGCGTGCTGAGCGGGGAACTGCTCATCAGCTTGTGCTTAGGCTAGAGCTCCAAGAGCAGGTGGCCAGTGGGAGGATAACAAGGCTTACAGGTGACACTGCAGAACGTGCCATGAGGTATGCAGTGTCTCTCAGCATCAAGGCTTCATGGCTTGCAGATATACTCATCGGACCAGCTTGCACAGTGCTGGATGCTGTCCCGGCACAGCCTCTTTGGGATGCAGGTGCAATACTCGTAGAGCACTGGGGTGCAGCTCCACCACTCAGACCCACAGGGAGGGCAGGCAGCCACTGGGAGGGAGGAAAAATGGAGCTCATAGGTGTTTCAGTAGCACTAACGAGTTACCTCCTTTCCTACACTAGAAGTCTCGTTTCATCCTTTTGGCAAACACAGAACAGCCACTGGTGATAACCTTGCATGTGTGAACCCACCACAGAGGATCCTCACTTGATGCTACTTCTACAGGACAATCCCACTTGACATTATGATAACTTACGTGGCAGATAGACCACACCAGGAAGAACGATTAGCTATTCTGGAGAAAGCTGCTGATACACACAGGTCTTGGCTGAGGTTCAAGCCCACGCGTGACTTAGGCACAGATCTGATGCTCAATTCAGTGACAGGTGCATCCCAATGCCCTAGACAACTCTGTACCTGTTCATTTTACCACACAGGTACATTCACTTCTCTCTGGCCCTTCAAGACATACCCATCTCCTGACCAAGAATCAATGGCTAGTGCTGAACTATTGTTGCTGGCTACAGCTACGCATCAAATGGCTCTGTGACATGAAGGAGTGTACATGCTTCTTACTCACACCCTAGTTAATTCCTGCATTAGAGGATGACACCAGACTCCATGGGGGAATTCTCCAACCCTATCGATGAGTCCCATGGCCTTTAAAGGCTATTTCAATCAATCAGCAGAGGCCTTTGCTGTAATGGTAGCCAGAAGACAGACTTACAGCTCTCCATCTCATCAGAGCAGTCCCCACAGTCATTCATCCCATCACACCTCTGATCACTGTAGATCCAGTACGCAGGGTTACTGCAGTGGAAAACCAGGTATCCTGGAAGGCTACTGGGCAGGTCATCTACAAAACCAGGCACAAGAAACATGCTGAACTCCATAGGGTACAGATGCATCTGCTGAAAGATTCCTCACTATCAGGAGAGCATCACTGTGAGGATGATCACAACGAGACTGCTCACCACAGAGCTTCTCCTGCTCATCCTCTCCATTCCTGCAGTCCTGGATTCTGTTGCAGACATGGCTGGCTGGGACACAAGTCACTCTGTCATCGCACAAGAAGCCTGTCCGGTTACCAGAGGCTGCACAGAAACGGTTCACTGAAGAGAAAGCAAGAAATAGTTTATTTTCAGACGTTTTCATGTTCACATTAGGAGGAGCCGATCAAGAAGGACGGGGATTCAGGAATTTGTCATTCTGGAGATAACCAGGGGCCAGAACTTATTCCCAGTCACTTCACAGTGAACAGCAGCCTGCGGGAAGCAGGACTGGGGGCCAGAGGGATCTGTGCTC